GGCTAGATAAGTCGGGCGCGGTAGACCGGGACCTGAAAGGCCCATCAACTGGCTCACGCGGGGCGGGGCGAGGCGAGGTGGGGCGGGGCCTCCTGCAGTACCGCTTCCGGCCCGGCCCACGTCTGAAGCTCGCCGCCCGGCACCAGCAGTGACGTCATGCCTCGTACCTGAACCTGGAGTCTTGCTTCGGGATCTGGGCGCCAACACTCGCCAGCTGCGTCCTGGAGGGCAGTCACCCCTAGACCTTGATTTCTGCACTTGTGAAATAGAACAGCTGCGTAGTGTGCTTTAAAGGCTTGTGATGAGATGTGGTTACTGAAAATATATGTATGTAATTGCAGAAATTCTAAATAATTTTATTCAGGTATGTTTAAAATTATTTTTAAGTGAATGATGTGCTGTTTTTTGTTGTTTTTATTGAGAAATAGTCGATTTATTATGTGTTAATTTCTAGTGTGCAGCATAGTGATTCAGTTGTACATATATACATTCCTTTTCATATTCTTTTTCATTATAGGCTATTACAAGGTGTTGAATACCATTTCCTGTGCTACACTGTAGGACCTTGTTGTCTAACCTTTTTTTATATATAGTAGTTAGTATGTACAAATCCCGAAAAAATACTTTTAAATAAACGGCTCATGCTACGTATTCCATCTCTTACATGGATGAGTCTATAGGCAAAATGCCCTTGAAATAAGAGCCTCAGAGGTGAATTTTGCTTACACTTGTCAGAAATACTTAAGTATATGTACCTGTAGAAAAAGTTAAGGGAGACCTGAAGGAGAGCAGCAAGCTTCCATGTTGACAAGTGTGAAGAATAATTTTTAGTGGGGAGGGGGTGTAAGAGGGAGCATTTCAAACTTTTCCCATTTTTCCCAATGTTCAACCAAATTAAAAAGTCATGATTGCAGTGATTACTGCATTACTTTAATAAACTAGTTGGAGCATTTCCAGGTAAGTGGTTTTTTTATTATAATTTTAGTATGACAGTTTCACACAATTTTCCCCAGTTGTAGAGGTCGAAAATAAAATACATTATTTTGGCTATGGAGGAGGGGCTTCATTTGATACTTTAAATTCCATTTTCATGCCAGTCAAAATTAATAAATGCTCCCCAAAGTTATGGCCTAATATATCTTCAGAGTGGCACCAGCAGACACAACACCTTTATAACCTTAAATGTTCTTTCTCTCCTGCGCCAAAGTTCTTTTTCCTTACTCTCTGCTTAATATTCTTCTACACTTTCTATTCTGCATATAACTATGATAACCTAAAAACCAAACCAAAAACCTTAAAAGTTAATTTTTTGATATCTATTGGTGGATGAGTGGATAAAGAAAATGTGGTTTATACACACAATGGCATATTATTCAGCCTTAAACAAGGAAATACTCTCATATGCTATAACTTGGATGATGCTTTGAGGACATTGTGCTAAGTGAAGTAAGTCAATCACAAAAAGACAAATACTGCATAATTCCACTTATAGGAGTTACCTTAAATAACAAACTCTTAGAAATAAAAATTAGAATGGTGGCTTCCAAGAGTTGAGGCAGAGGAAAAAGTGGAATTGTTATTCCGTGGGCATAAAGTTTCAGTTTTGCAAGAGAAAAAATTTCTAGAGAGCTGTTGCACAATAATGTGATTGTAGTTAACACAGCTGAGCTGGACACTAAAATAGTTAAGATGGCAAATTTTATGTTATGTGGGGGTTTTTTTACTACAATTTAAATAAGCCCCTAAACTAAGAATTCTGATTTTTTAAACTGATTATTTGAAAGCCACCTGCATTTGTAATTACATTTTTTTAAAGATTAACTGTTTTTAGTTTTTATTTTATTTATTTTTAATGGCGGTACTGGGGATTGGACCCAGGACCTGGTCCACGCTAAGCTTGCGCTCTACCACTAAGCTATACCTACCACCGAAAGCCATCTACATTTTAAAAATTGGCCAGAAATTCATAATTTATATTCTGGTAATAAAATCAAATTAGTTTGTTGCTGTGGTACACAAGTTTTAGTAACATGATCAAGTGACATTACAAGGGGTTGAGACAATCCAAAACAGCAAAAACAAACTGCAATACATTGAGACGAAAAATAAAGAAGCAATTATTAAAGGCTTCATGAATTGGCTTTGATAAACAAGACAGTTCTACATTACATGTATTCAAATTCCCTTTCCTCTTATTGGCAAGAAGGGTAATCAAAAGCCTTTATCATTAAAAATTAGTGGAATGTTTACAAATGTATGATTTTCTTTTGCAAATTGGCAATTAAGCATCAAATTACATTCTTCACTGCTGAAGCCAAACTTACTCTCATGGTTTACAAGTACATTTCTTAGTTTACTGAAAGTTCAAATTGCAAATCACATTCCAACATGAACTAGAATTATTTCCTGAGTTTTTTTTTAACACAAATATGCAACTGAAGAGCAGTCTGTTGCAAATGAACAACTCACAGCAATAGAAAAGCATAGAAATCCTAATGGTTTTATTTTGGGCATTTACATTTGTGTCATTTCCAGACTGTCGTAGAGCAGCTAAAAGTGGGGAACAAACAACATGCAAAATCTTCCTTTCACTTTGTAGAATAAGTTATATCACCGTGACAAAAAATAAATTCAGGTATTATCATAATTTACTTGAAAACACAACTGTTATCTAAATTTAGCATTTCCCAGCCTTTCACAGAGATCCTATCTCTGAAAACAAAGCTGAATAAAATTCAATAACTTGGAATGTCCATCAAATAAAAAACAAGACTTTCATATGGTTTTAACATAGTTACATAGGTATTTTAGTAGAGAATATTTTTAAGGTTATCCCATTCCTTAAATAGGGGGATATGTTTTCATCATCAGTCATGCACAAGAAAAAATAAGGTGTTAAAAATTAAAATCTACTTTAGTGGGGGGGGATACAGCTCAAGTGGTAGAGCACAGGCTTAGCATGCATAAGGTCTTGGGTTCAATCCCCAGTATTCCCTCTAAACATACATAAATAAATAAAACTAATTACCTCCCCCCACCAAAAGTAAAAATTAAAAAAAAATCTTTTCAATGCACTTTAGATTGATTTAAAGCTTAAAAATACAGAATCTGTTAAATAACAGCAGTGGCTTCACTCATAGAGCTCAATTGGCCAGGTACTGTGCTTAGGGCTTTCCATGTATTAACTCTTCCTCACAACTCTGAGGTACTATTGTAATTACCAACATTTTCTACAGATGAGGAAACAAAGGCTTAGAGAGGTTAAGTAACTTGGTCAGGGACACAGCTGGTAAGCAGAAGAGAAGGGATTCAAACCCAGGCAGTCTAGTTCTAGAGCCTACACTTGCAGCCACTGTGACCCTCTGAGAATGAAAATGTCAGAAAATAGGCTATTAGAAGGGCAGAAAATTCCTAAACCAAAGGTGAGTGTAATATTTGGAAAGGTCTGGATGGTAATTACTGAAGTGTGTGTCAACTGAGAAAACACACAGAACATAAGAGCTGTGAGTTTTATTCAGTGTCTCACTGAGTACTATAGCCCAGGAGACAGCCTCTCAAAGAGCTCTGAGAAAACCTTTCCAAAGAGCAATGGGGAGAGGCCAATATATATACGTGATTTTGGCTAAGAAATAAGTGTAATCAAAAATACATCTCAGTATAAGGTCACTTCTAGTCACAAGGAACAGATATCAGTGGATGGGGTGCATGCTGAGTATGCACGAGATACTTGGTTCAATTCCCAGTACCTCCATTTGAAAAAAAAAACATGAGGAACAGATATTTCAGATAATGATTTTAGTGATTTTTCTAAGTATGGAAAAATGCCAGAACCTCGGTTCATAAAAAAATTATTCCTGGAATATTTCAAACTATCTAAGGTCCTGTTTTGCCTGTTTTCCAGAAGCACAGTGTCTCATCCTGTTCTTCATGCCGAATTTTTTTTAGGGTGTACTTCAGGTCAGCAACTGCAGTAATGACTTAATCCTTGTAGAAAACAGTTTTACAATTTCCCTTTTTTGTAAATTTGACCATGGCTTGGGAGGCATTTCATGACCAATTTGTCCTATGGTGCTAGCAAGGCTTATTCGTAGGTCAGGCAAGATTTCATTGAGAGGCCAAAGTGCTATTCCTGGACTAGGCCCTGTTAATGTTAGCCACGGAAGCCTCTGGCCCTGTCTCTGGACTCAGTGAGTTTCATATGGTCCAGGAAATGATTCCCTCTCCTTGCTTCTTCCCATTTCTAGAGTTATACTATTACCATCATTTTAACTTTATATAAAACTATGTATTTTGTCAGTCATTTTAAGTCATTTAGTCATTATTATTTTTATCAGTGGTGCAGTCACATTTCAGGTAATAACAAAAAACAACAATATAAATTAGGCAGAGTATAAGTAATGTAACTAGTTGCACTAATAAGGTCAATAACAAATATTTAAGCCAAGAACTTCCATTACATGCAGCCATGTATATCCCTGGTCATCTGGTTCAGTGTGTTCTGCACCATTCACAGTCATTAAGGGTAATGATATGTTGGCATTGTTCACAAGGCAGCCAGACCAATTTTCTAGTGTCATTAAGCTGACTAAATTGGTATGATTTAACTGTTCCCAACACAAAGGACCTTTAAACTTAAATGACTATAGCCTGGTGTTACCCATGTAAATCCATCCCATAATTGAGGGAGGAGGAGGTGGTTATGGTTTTTGACTGAAACTTGGCTTGTTCCTCTGACTGTGCTTGAGTAACTTTTAAAGAAAATTCATATCCATGGTCAGAGTGAGTATGATTGATTGGCCAAGTGAGGGGGTCCCATCTAGTAATATCAATAGTGGCCCAAACAGAACTGTAACTTCTTTCTTCTAGAAAAAAATTTTAAGGACCATCCAATCAGAGCCTTGGAGAAGAGAAATCCACCAAGGTAAACCAGAAGTACTGGACATAGGTAACTGACCATAAAACCAACAATTGGATTAATTTTTAAGCTCTGCACAGGATTTGTGCCCATGATAGAAGAACATTTATGTTCAAAAGTCCAAGAAATCAAGAACTACACTTCAAATAATCATATGGATCAGGTCGAGTATCTTGGGATAGCTGCTGCTTCAGATGTCATCTTCTTCTTGTCCTGGGGCAGGTGTCACTTCTCCTCTGTTTAAGCATGATTTTAAGATGAGTTTGAGGTCAGCAGTCCTCTCTATAGACCAACCCAGTGCAGGGGCCCCTTTTAAGTGGAAAATATTAATCTAAGAATCAGTTCCTTCAGCTTTGCTGTGCATGAACTGGTAAGTTCCCCAAAAAGAACCTATCTTGAAAGGCAAGGGGATGCTCTAAGGAAAATTTGGGGTCTTCCCAGTACTCCCACTTAATATCACTGGGAGAATTGGACCTTTGTATAGGAGTTGAGGCTATTGATGCTTTTGTGGATACAGGAACAACTTTGTCTGTCTTGAACCCCACCAGCCTCAAGACCCCCTTCCTTGGAGTACAGAAAGGTCCAAATTGTGTGAGTTTCCAACATAGTTATGAAGTAAGCAAATCAGCCCCCTTGCCTTTCAAGATAGGTTCTTTTTGTGGAACTTACCAGTTCCTTCTTGTTCCTTGTCCCTGTACATCTTCTTGGCCAAGACTTCCTAGAAAAATTATAAGCTAATATTTCCTTTTCCCTAAAAGGGGAAATACACTTACAATTCCTTGACTCCTTGAGGTCTACTTCTAACTCTAGTCCTGATATTGAGAGTCCCCGCCTTGCTTCTGTCTTGTCAATTCCCAGTCACAAGAATTTGTTAGATTCTGTTCCTTTTACCTTATGGTCTGCCTCTTCAAATGACAAAGAACGCCATCAATTAAGATCTGAGATGATCCTAATAAACCTTTGTCTCACCTCAGACAGTGCCCTCAGGCCTGAGGCACTAGAATGAATTCGTCCCACTCTCAAAGCAGACCTCTAGAAGGGCCTCATAATCCCATGCCCCAGTCCCTGAAGCCTGCCAGTCCTTCCCATAGACAAGCCTCATGGTCGAGACTGGTGTTTTGTTCAACATCTCTAAGCCAGAAACAACATAGTCATACCACATCACCCTGTGGTCCCCAACCCTCACACCATCCTCAATTTACTCCCTCTGGTTCTTTAAAGTCATAGATTTATGTAGTGCTTTCTTTGACATTCCTGCCCATCTAGATACTCAGTACCTGTTTGCCATTATTTGGAAAGGATGTCAAGGATAGGACCATTATGCCTCAGGACTACACAGAAAGCCCTACTTATTTTTACAGATATTGAGACAAGACTTGGCCAATGTGAATTTTGCCCATGGCTCTATTTTACTTCAATACATTGATGACCTTTTGTTACACTCCCCCACTGAGGAAGCAAGTCTCAAGGACAGCCTACAAACCTCACTCAGCACACAAAGGACATAAGGTCTCAAGGAATAGGCTCCAATTTATTCACACCCAGGTAAGATATTTGGATCATCTGCTTACCTGTCAAGGGTTAACAGCAGATCCTACATGCATCTCAGTTTCCCCTTTCCCGCCACCAAGTGCCAATTGAGATGCTTTCTTGGGCTAACAGGCTGTTGCAGAGTTGGGTTCCTGATTTCTCCTTATACACACAACCCCTTATTCCATTCTGAAGGACAACAGACCTGATCCTCTTGTTTGGGATAATGAGGCTGAGTCAGCTTTTCAAACTTTAAAAACTCAGTTGGCCACAGCCGCTGTTTTAGGGCACCTTAATTATTCTTTTCCCTTTCTACTGCTTGTATATCAAGTTAGCAGGAAACACCCTTGGAGTGTTCGTTCAGCCCCAAGGGGCAAACACAGACCTATTGGCCTTTAGAGCCAACAGTTGGACCCTACAGCTTCAGCTTGCCTCCAAGCATAGCAGCCACTGCTTCCCTCTACAGGCCACAGAGGAGACAGGGTCTCTTAAGGGTCTCCCCTATAGGTTTTTGTCCCTCACTCTGTTGAGGCACTTTTGAACTCACACCACATACAACACTAGTTGACTGACATTCTATGAAATGTTATCGCTTTCCTCTCCAAATGTCACTTTGTCTCATTGTAACTCCCTAAGTTCTGCTACCCTCTTACCATCAGCAGCAAATAAGACCCCACGTGATTGCACAACCACAATTGATCTTCTGACTAGGCTGCATCCAGATTTGCAAGAAACACCTCTAGACAAATTTGACATTTTTTGGTTTATCTATGAAATGATGCTGGACATACTGTCACTACTCCCTTCACTGTAATAGAATCCAGCGCTCTCTCTGCCTGTCGGTTCCTTCAGCCCAACAAACTCAACTATACGCACCCACTTGCACCTGCACTTTGGCCGCTGGCAAATGCGTTAACACTTACAGTGATAGCAGGTATGCTTTTGGAGTAGCTTATGACTTTGGAACGCTTTGGAAAGAGGTTTCTTGAACTCAGGGGGAAATGAAATGGAAAATGGCCCCTTCGTTAAGGCTTTGCTGGCTGCAATCTTGCTGCACAACAGCTGGCAGTAATAAAAGTAACAGGGCATTCCAAAGATAATACTGAGAAAGGAAAGGGAAACTGACCGGCCGACAGAGCTGCTAAGGCTGCAGCATGACAAGATTCAGGAGAGACCACCTCCTGTTGGTCATGCTATTCACACCAAGTTAACTACGTACTACTTAGAAGGACACCCAGGATTTAAAGGATATTATCAGTGATGGGCAATTGTGTGCTACATGTAAGGAACAGCAGAGGTGGGTTTCTGAAGGATGCACATTCAACCAACATTCTGGGCTTCGGTATGGGCCAAAGAGCCGCCTTGCTCTTTCTGCAGTCATTCAAGAAACCATATTAAAATTAATACATGAAATGACTCATTAAGGAACTGCTAAAATGATAGCCTGGGGGAAACAATACTTTTGGAAACCTCCCATAGTAGCAACTGAAGTATGTCAGAGGTGTCAGATCTGTCCGAAGTATAACCCAGGAAAACCTATTCATATTCTCAAGGCCACTTTCTTTTACCTCCTGGTCCCTTTACTATCTGGCAACTGGATTTTATCCAGCTGCCTCCCCCTCAAGGATACAGATATGTTCTGGCAATGGTTTGTATATATTCCCATTGGGTGGAAGCCTTTTCTTGCAGATGAGTACCAACCCTTGCAGTGGCCAAAATGTTAGAAAGGATTTTTCCTACTTGAGAAATTCCTTTGGAATCCCAGAGTTATAAAAGTACCCATTTCACTGGACAAATTCTAAACACTGTGAAATCTGACCTATACTACAACATCCACTGTGCCCATCATCCTCAGTCCGCTGATCATGGAAAGAACCAATGGCATAATCAAAACGCAACTGGCAAAACTCTCTGACCCTTTCAGTCTTCCTCAGCCTAAATTACTACTCATGGTTTCTTTTTTTTTTAAACTTAAGATCGACACCCTTTGGAAGACACAAGCTGCCGCCATTTGAAATAATTACTGGAAGACCCATGATTGTTGACTCAGGACTAATGGAGCCCCTTCTAGCAAAGGAAGATCTTTTCCATTATTGCCAAAGTCTCATTAAGGCTCTAAAGAAAAATTTTCATGAATGGTTTTATGTTTGGAATGAAAGTTTAAAGAAAGTGATGCAGGTCCTTTGGTCCCTTAATTTTGATTGGAGAATTGAACTTTTGGGACTCCTCCATGTGGCTACAGGTTTATTAATGCTCTTTGCCCTACTACATACAGTGGGCATCTTACATTGGTGGTAATTCTGTGAAAACCATGTATCTTGCCAGAACTCTCCTGAGAAGCCTCTGGCTCCACTTCTTGGCCATTCATCTATTCAGCTTGGGATTCTTTCATTAACCAAGACCACAAGCCACCCTTTTCCCTTTTTATATTAAAATGGCTGACTTTACTTGGATATTCTCTCACTAGACTTACTATTTACTCTTAAAATCCATCCAGAACCCTTATGCCTGGAAGAGTAATTCCCTAATCTGCATTTCCCAAAGTCTAGGAGGAAATCTGATTGTTGGATATGCCATTGGCACCCCAGATCATTCCCTTGCCTTATCTAACTCCAGTCTTATTGATATCACTCCACCATGTCTTGTTCAGAATTCATCTATTCTTGTAGGGTACCACATTTGCCTACTCAAATCCACAGCTCCTTTTCCTTGTTTGGTCAATAGAACCAGACAAAACCTCCAACAGTTCTTAGGAAAAGTTGTTCCAACAGCACCCTGTGGTTACCCAGAAACATTTGCTCTCACCTTTACCTTGCTGTGCAACAACAAAACATACCCTCATGATGACCCCCATGGATTTCAATAAGGAAGGCTTCTAGACAGCTCAAATATAACCAACCCTTGGTTTAATTTCACCTTGACAGCTCCTTTCTTTGTGCCCCATCTGGCTATGTCTTTATTTGTGATTGGAAGAGTTCTGCCTGGGGAATGTCCTGCCTCAATCCCCTTAACCCCAGGTTCTCAATGTGCCCTAGGACTTTTAATAGCTCCTTTGACTGTGTTAAATTCTTCAGAAATTACCAAATGGCACATATGCTCTACTTCTTGCCTCCAACGAGACCTCCTCTGAGAGATTTCAGAAATACCTAAGAATTATATTCCCCATGTGGGGGACAGAAACACTTGGCAAAATGGTTTGAAATTGCTGCCACCATAGCAGAAATAGCTAAGGCCACAGACATAGGATTAAGTGCCCAAGAAAACCCCCTAAACTCACTTGCTCATGTTATAACAGATAACTGATTTTCCTTGGACTACCTTCTGGCAGAACATGGAGGTATCTGTACCACCTTAAAATATCACCTCCTGTACTTGGATAAATATTTCTGGTATAGTAGAAACAAACTGAGGTCCTACAGAAGAAAGCCACTTGGCTTCATTCTAATACCCTCAACACTCCCCTAATGTTTGATGTGTTCAGCTTGTTACCCTCAAACAATGGACCTTAGTTCAGAAATGTCCTGCGAACTGGGTTATAGTTCTTAATAATTGTTGTTAGCCTTTTTACACTGATAAAGAGCTTGCTTAAATTGATTACTTCTATACTTAAACATTCTACTGCTCAGTTAAAGTTCACGCAGATCACTATGCTTGAGGTAGCACAATGTCACGGCGCTGCGAATGATTTTCCTGATCTATCCATTGATTCTTACACACAACCCACCTTCCGAGGGGCATGATGAATCCAGAACAGGTAGCCAAGCCACTCCAGCGATGTGGACTAAGAGTTGCTCCAGTGATGTTTTCTTTGGGAAAAATCATAAGCAAGAGGGTAATGTGAAAGGTACAATGGCATAAGTGACAGAGACGTGCCCTGAGGACCTCCAGGCCATGCTAAACTTCTGCTGAACTCTCTAAAATAAAATGTTGATATTGGCTACTTTGCCGTAAGGAAAGAACAATCCTGAGAACTGTACTTTCCCTGGACTAAAGAAACCATACCTTTCTCTAGTAATGGATGAAATATACTTGATAACCCAACTGTGTATATAGAACAATTTTACCTCCAACTCAAATTTTTGGTACAAAATGTGTAAGCAAGTTCTGCATGAACTTCCTCCTTTTCCTCATAAAAACCTCTACCCATTTTCTTCCAGTGGAACACTATTC